TCTCTCCCAAAAGCTCACAAGTCTTCCTCTCTGGGCTGCTGTGGGCAGGTATAGGCAGGCCTGGGTCCAGCATCCTGTATGTCTCCCTGGTCCCGGTCTCTCAGCACACCAGAACCTCAGCCCACACTGGTCACAGGGAGGCCCTGTAGTCAGACTGCCTCTCCCACTCACATCTCACACCTCTGAACACTGCTTCCTGGGCCTCTATCCTTGCCTGCCCTGCTGAGGTCTGTTCAGCTGCCAGGATTCAGACTGAATGCCATCTTGCCCAGGGAGTCACAGTTCTTCCCTGGCACTGTGTGGGTTACTCTGCCGCCACTGCTGTGTATGTCCACCCCTTTGGTCCTTCTTCTTCAAAGTTAGGGAGACTGGCTGACACACACGAGGTCCTCAAATAAAGAAATCCAAGGGCCTGCATGCCACCTTGGTGCAGCCCTCCTAGATGTCCCAGTACCAAATGAGTGATTCTGCAGTGCTGGGGTCTGGTGCATATCATGTGGGACAAAAACAAGAATCAAGACAAGCATAACAAGTTAGTTCACAGAGCACTTTCCACATCCATGCATGCAACCCCTTCCACTCCTGAGAGTTTGCGATTTCTAAGCCCATGTTCTAGGGATGGGGAGTTGTAGGAGGACACTGTGACCCTAGCAGGTCAGCGAGCACAGGATTACAGTTGATTGGACAATATTTGTATGATAACGAGTGGGATACCTTTTGTATAACTGGTTGGATATCATTTGTATCAGAACAGTTGAGTGGATAGCATGTGAATGAGAACACTTGGTGGAAAATACAAGACAAAAGGAGTTCCAAACAAAAGCATAGAAAGTTGATGGATTTGTTGGTAAGCTCAATACTTCCTCCCTTATCCCATATGACCCTCAGTGTATAAAGTCTGATACCACTAATAAACTTTGGCTTTGACCATCAGTCAGAGTCCATGCATGTTATTGTCAGCTCTGTTCACCAAGTCCATCACCGTGGGACAGTGACAGGGAGTGAGTCCACCCCCCAAGACCTGGAGAAAAGGCATGGCTGGCACCCTGGAGCTCCAGCTTCCATGCTCAGCCCCCAGGGACCTGCTCCTTGCCAGACTGGCATCTCTAGGTCCTGAAGAGGCACAACAAGTACAGCGTCCAGCCAGGCAAGAACAGAGGAGCCCTTAGGAGGACCTGGGGAGCACCTGGAAGGTAGAAGCTGGGCTTCCTGCCTGGCACAAGGATCAAGGAAGTCAATGATTCAATCACTCTCCAAACATTTACTGAGCCCCTGTCACCTTATCAGGTACCATGCTAGATGCTGGGGGCACAACAAAAAGCCAGAAAAATGTCTCTGCTCCCAAGTGACTGGAATGCTTGTGGGGGAGACCGCAGACTGAATATAAGTATGTGCGATCACTTAGGTCATAAACAATAAGATATGGTGACTGGAGAAGCTCTCCCGCAGGGTTGGCTGGGAAAGGCCTTTAAGAGGAGATTAATGTTCAGAACCAGCCTTTAAAAACCTTGGAGGGCCCGGTACAGCAGGCTAGTGGCTGAATCCTTGCCTTGTATGTGCCAGAATCCCATGTGGTGCAAGTTCCCCTCCCAGCTGCTCCATTTCCCATCCAGCTCCCTACTTGTGGCATGGGAAAGCATTGCAACCAATTGGGAGACCCAGGGAAGACTCCTGGCTCATGATTTTGGATTGGCTCAGCTCTAGCCATTGCAGCTGCCTGGGGAGTAAACCACCGGGTAAAAGCCTTTCCAATAAATAAATAAACAGATAAATAAATAAAATCTTTTCAGAAATCTGGGCAAGTAGCTAATACTTAACGGAGGCTGCTGGGAGGCTGCTGCAGCACAGTAGGAGAGGAGCTTGAGTGGCAGCAAGGATGCTCGTACACACTTTGCCCGCCATGTCAGGGAGTCTGCCGGGTGTGAAGGATGCTGAGGGCAAACGGAGGAGCGAGGAGTGCAGTAAGAACCTTCAAACCACAGAGCAGTGACTTGAACCACAACCCCAGACACTTTGGGGGTTAGGGAGCAGGACATAGCACAGAATGTATATCTGGCTTGCTCTGGCCTTGAAAACCCTGGCCATCTCTGGGACCTCCGTGTTTCCATCTGAAATCTGAGGCCTGGCCCAGATCCAATGTTAATAGCTACCCATGTCTTCGTGACTCACAGACTTGCTACTGAACTTGGGGATGGGAGGATGGGGGTGGAGCATGATTTCTACACTGGCCACTGAGTCACCCGGTCTGCTAATAAACTAATAATCTCGCCTCTCTTTTCTCAGCTCAGATGAGCTGTTGGCCACACAGATAACCTGGACGTGGGAGCTCTGTAGGGTGGGGGGAGATATGAGGACAATGCTGTCACTCTGCTTTAAGACCGCCAACCCCCTGTTCCACCCCTAACTACCTATCCACTCAGCTTCACCCCCTCCCAAGCTCCTGCCCGCATATCTCAGGAACAACGAGTGCCCCCCAGCCACCACCCCTTCCCCCCAACCTACGAGGTCCTCAGGAGCTGACACGGTGTCATCAACACCTGCCCCTTGTCCATGCCTCACTCTTTGCAGCCACCTGGAGTAAATCGGTTCAGCATTTTACTTGGTGCTGGGTCCTGTGCTGCCCCCGAGGGCACAGGCGAGTGGCAGAGGCCTCTGATCTGAAATGCCTAAAATGTAGCGTGCAAAGGCAGTGAGGATGACACAGCCACCCCTGCAGCCTCCATCTTTGTTCTTCAGAGATTCGAAAACACCCCCACACGGGCCCTCTATCTCCCAACACACGCCCACCCATGCCCCCACAAACAGACCAATGGCCAAGGCATCTACTTCAATCTCTCACCCATCACAGGACTTCCCTTCACAGAATCCGTGTGTGTCCTTCAACGCTGCCACTGGCAGGGTGCGCTCCACCTCGCCACGGTGGGACCTTATCTGCAGCTGCAAACTAGGCCACCAGGGAGTGTCCTCCAGGGCCAGGGATGGAGAGAGCAGGTCTAATGAAAGATGCCCAGATAATCTAACCTGTCTCACACCCTCCCCTGCTCCACCCAGTCTTACACCAAAGCTGGCCCCCAGAGAGCAGAACACACAGCCTGGCCTTTTCTGGCAGCCCTTGCCGTCCTCTGTAATGTACTCCCTTGCATGTACTTACAACAATTCAAAACAAAACAAAACAAAAAAAAAGGAAAATGTGTTTTTCCTATCTGCTAACAAGGGGATATGCTGCCAATGTGATACAGACTCAAGTGGGCAAAAACCATTCGCTATAGAGTGAAACTTCTCCTGATGGACAAATTCAAGGTCAAAAATATTGAGAGCCAGGATTGCTGGCTCCTGGAATCACAGCTTGCGACCCATGGACAGGGATCTCTGGGAAGGACTGCCACTCACAGCATCCCCAACCTATCACCTCTGAAGACAAAAACACTTAGTAAAGCAAGGATGTGGGCAAGTCCCTTTCTTCCCCGGTTAAAGGTATCAAAGGGCACACTGACTGGCAAAGTACTCTTGAGAATGGGTGCCCAGGGCTACCCATGGGTGTGTGGGGCAGCTCATCTGCTGACTTGTGGGGGCAGGAGGTAGGAGGACACAGAAGCTTGGTTCCTTTCCAAAAGCAACCCAGACCAAGCGGGCCAGAACCGCCCCCCACCCGCTCTCACCATCACACAAGGAACGACACCAATCACACAGCGGGACTGAGACACAGACACTGGATTACAAATGACGTTGATGAACATTAAGAGAGGGAAAAAGCATGCCCTCGACTTTTCCATATGTAAAAAATCTGAATAAAGAACAATATCAAGGGTCAATGCAATAGCGCAATTGGCTAATCCTACACTTGTAAGCTCTAGCATCCCATATGGGCGCCAGTTCATGTCCTGGCTGCTCTACTTCTGATCCAGCTTTCTGTATCTCATGCTCTCTGTAAATCTGTCCTTATAAAAATGAATAAATAAAAAAAAATACCAAAGTGCTACTGAACAGTCTGTATTAGAATAGTTGATTGTCCAGCAATTTCAATTTACTTCTTGTTTTGTCTAGAGTTTTCCAAATCTCCATTAATTAGCAAATCTTAATTTTCTAACGAAGGTGGGCAAGGCAGGTGAGTGTTTATTAGTAAAGAAAAAATAATAGTCTCAAGTGGGAGATGTTCAGCAAGTGGAATAGAGGCTCAGGGCTGAGAGGCAGGCTTCAACAAGACAGACCTGCAGACCAGGGTGGTGCTGGGCACTTCCCAGGCTCTCCTTCCCTGGCCTGGATTTCACTCGCTGGTCAAAAAAAAAAAAGTTTCCCCCTGTCTCAGTTGGGATGTGGGACACTCTTTCTCCCCTGGAAAAAGCTGTAGTGTTAGATCTGAACTCATGCCCGTGTTCACCAGAGGGGTTCAGTCCCAGCTTGGAGGACACTCAGGGTGTCCTGCACCCCTCCCTTGTAGAGGGGTTCAGGTGCCACTGCTGGAGCGGGGGTGGGAGGGCACAGCATGCCTTGAAGGGACAGACGGCACCAGTGGCGGCAGGTGCACACCTGTCCCAGCCAGGCACGTCCCCGTCTGGCGGCTGTCTCTGAGTATTACAGGACTCCAGTCACCAGCCTCATCCCCGTCTCACGGTCGAAGGCTGAGGGGGAACTGCTGGGGGTCCCTGTAAACCGGAAAGGGTGGACGGCATTACCTCCATCGCACACATGAGGGTTACAATCGGAGGGGGGCACGAGAGGTGACGTGGGAGGTTGCAAAAAGCGACCGGAGTTCAGAACGGAGCATGGAGCAGATGATTCTGGGGCCGGGCTGTCCGGATCAGCCCAGGTAACCATGATTCTTTCCTCACACCCTGACCCGGAGGATAAGCGTTGGCGGCGGCGGGCGGTAGGCGCCAAGCTGCCCCTTGCCTGGGACGTCGCCGGCCCGCCTGCCTCAGGGCCCTTTCCCGGCATCTTGGGTTTGTCAACGCAGAGGTGAACGGCCCCCGTTCCCACAGCCTCTCCGCGGTGACACTCACCCCATCGACCGGACCCCTCACGTGACAGCGCACGGCCTCCATTCGAGCTCTCACTTCGGGCCGCCTCGTCCCGACGCGCACCCCGCAGCACTCCGGAGTAGGCAGCTATGAGGGTCTTCATGCTGCTGCCGGGGCGGGTCACAGCCTTGCGCGTAGCCGCCCAAGCACGTGCCCTTGGCCCATGCCCCGGCCGCCGGGGGCCGGGGCTTCGCGCGGAGCACGGGAGCCCGGGGACGGCGCCGGCGCGGCGGCAGCTACGGCTGGCCGACGGCGGCGCCTCAGACAGCCGAAACCCGAGCCACCGAGCGACGGCCCAGCCGCTCGACGCTCCGCGCGCGGCGCTTTATAACCTCACAAGGGGGCGGGCCCGGCGCGGCGGGGCGCTCCACCCCCGCGGGGGCGGCATCTGCCCCGGGCGCGGTGCGAGCGCGACGGCGGAGAGCGAGCGGAGGGCGAGAGGCGCCGGGACCGGAGCGCTCCACCGGGCGGGCCTAGCCGCTGAGCTCGGGCCAGGGAGCTCGAGTGCTCCACGGGACGGGCCTAGCCGTCCCTGCGCCCCCTCGGCCGCCCCCTGCGCTCCGCCGCGGAGGTTGGTACAGCCCACGGCCGGCGTGGACAAGGAGAGCTAGCACGTGCAAGCCAGGCAGCTGGCTGGCGGGTAGGCCTTGGGGGTGTCTCCTCTTTGGAAGGATCCCGCCCCTTTGGCTGCAAAGGCCTAAGTCTCACCTCTGGTTAGTGATGTTGGGATTAGTTTACCGCTGAACGTCCCGCAGCCTCGACCTTTCCCAAAGTATCCTTAAGTTCACAACTGCTACCCATCTGTCTGTCCTTGGAGGCCCTGCTTGGTGAGGCTGTGGCAAAGTGGACACTGGCAACAAGAGCAAAACAAGAGATGCCAGGTTGCTTTGCAACCACAGAAGGGAGAGGCGTCTGCCCAGGGCTGGGGGCTAATGCGCGGTGGCACCTAGGTTTTCAGTCAGACCTGGAATCGAGTTTGCGCTCAACCTTTAGATAGGCAGGTAAATTGTTTTTATTTGAAAGGCAGAGAGACAAGTTGTGGGGAGTAGTTGTTCCATCTTCTGGTTCATTTCCCAGCCAAGCAGGGTCAAGCCAGTCCAAAGCCAGGAGCAAGAAATTCCAGCTAATCTGGATCTTTCTGGCAGGTGGCAGGGGACCAAGCACCCAGGCGGGCGTTCCACTGTCTTCTTTGATGCATTAGCAGGAAGCTGGATGGCAAGCAGAGCAGTCCGGGTTCAAAACAGCATTGTCATACGGAATGCCAGTGAGAGAACAGGATGGACGGTGAGTGTTACTCTGGAGTAGGCACTGGAGCGGGAATGGAGTCTTTGGAGAGTTTTAAGTCCAGTGTGTTGTCTAAGCCCTGGAGCCACAGCGCAGGACATGGGCAGCAGTGCGGAACAAGGAAGGCAGTGGAGGGCCTACAGGAGGGATTCTGGTGACAGAAGGATGAGCTTCAAGCCAGGCCAGTGTCGGAGAGAATGCAAGGAAGACTTGGCATGTAAAGGGGAGATCTTCCGGAAGGTAAGGGGATGACTGCGTGCAGGGGGTGACGGCCACAAACATGTCTGTGACAAGACAGATGTCCTGGACCCAGCTTGAACAGGCTGGCTGCAGGGCCACAGCCTAAGAGCAGTGTTTGATTCCCAGGTCTGTACCATCTCTCCACAGGGGCAGGGGGAGGATAGGGGTCTGGAAACACTTGAACGCTCTCAAAGTGAATCCTGTCTAGAATATATTCCTGTACCTGAGGCTGAGAGTAGGAGGGAAAATAAACCAGGCAAAGGGACCAGCATGTGGTAAGGCACTGACACTGGCAGAGCTCGGTGCCAGGGGGAAAGACTGGTGGTGTAACATGTGCACTGGACAACATGGGGGCTGGTCTGTGCAAGGGCTCCATGGTGAAACAGGCATGATCTGTTTTGGGCAATGAGGAGAGTATCCTATGGATGGAGAAGGGTGCCCTTGCTGACAACGATGATGCTGGCTTGAAAGACCTTAAAAGTCAGTGTGTGACTTGTACCTGCTCTGCTAGGCTGTCCTGCTGAGCAAGCCTGGAAATGGAACTCATGGTCCATCCCCTCACCTCACAGGATCCTCTAAGGGCCAGAGCTTGAATTAGGAGGCAAGGTGTTCTGGGTGCTGGCCTCTCCTCTGCCAAAGTGTCCTTGGGTAAGTCACTGTCCCCGTCTTGGTCTAGGTTTCAGTTCAGCATTATGGTATGACAGGTGGCAGTTCCTATCCTGCTATTTCTAGTACTTTAGTACTGGGAGATGGAATGATATCATAACATGTCAAGGTGTTACCCCTGAGTAGTGAGAAGTCAGATACCATTATTTTCACAAGTGACAAGACTTCAGGCTGACAGGGTCTGTTTGAAACATTCAGATCCCACATAATACAACACATTTCCCTCTGCCCCTTCTGTAGACCAGGCCCTAAATGGAGCACAGAGGAGAAGCAGACCCAGTCCTTGGTTCAAGGGTATGCAATCAAGAGATAATGTTCCAGGGCCAGCACAGTAACCTAGTGGCCAAATCATTGCCTTGCATGTGTCAGGATCTTATATGGGTGGCAGTTCATATCCCAGCTGCTCCACTTCCCTTTCAGTTCCCTCCTTGTGGCCTGGGAAGGCAGTAGAGGATGGCCCAAGGCTTTTGGACCCTGTACCCATGTGTCAGACTGGAAGAAGCTCATGGCTCCTGGCTTTCAATTGGCTCATCTCCTACTGTTGTGGCCACTTGAGAGGGGGTGAACTAGTGGGTGAACAGCTTTCTCCCTGTCTCTCCTTCTCTCTGACTTTCCAATAAAAATAAATAATTTTTTAAAAAAAGAGATAATGTTCCAAAACTAATGGGTGTGAGACAGCAGCCTGTGGTGCAGGATTATGGAGAAGGCTATGCCAAGTTCAGATCTTCCTTTCCATGCCAGCACCATTTGGTCTGCATGTTTGCCCCTATACATATCACTAAGTCCCAGTGTGGGCCTACCTCTGACCTGTGAATGAGTGTTTGGAGGAAGAGGGAATAGTGGATTGGGAAGGTCAAGAAATGACATTGTCACTGCACCTGAAATGTTGAGTCTGATTCCTACGGACAGAGAGGAAGAGGAAAGGTCCTTGGAAGCTGTCTGTGTCCTGAGCGTTTTCCCTCATAGGAGATAACGTGGGGGCTCACATCACACAGTGACTCTGGCCCCTTCTCCACACATTCCAACATCCTACATTGCTGTGCTGACTTGTCGCACACCCTCCTCTGCCCTTTGCAGTGTAAGCAGGACAGCTGTGAGAATACTCCTGGGGACCTGGGTCACCTTTCTTTATCTCTCCCAACTTGGCCAGTAGGTGCTTTGGTCAAACCAGAGAGAAGTCAAGCTTCCCAGAAGGGCTTGAGGAAGGGTGGCTTTGTGCAGAGTGGTTGACCCAACCTCTCCGCTGAGCCCACTTTGGTGGTGTTCTGCCATGGGGGACCGTGAGTGGGGCCTTTACAGTGTGGGAGGAATATGACACCCTTCTGAGACATGGCAAGGATGGTAAAATGTCCACTTTGCATAGATGAGCAGGGAGAGTGGCTGGCTGACGGCTACCAGGACACATGCCAGGGAGATAGGCACATGAGAAAAACAGAAATGGTTCCCCAGTACCCTTTGCTACACTTGACCCTGGCTTGGGTGAGCCTACTTGGTCCTGGTTTGCAGCCACTCTACAAAGGGACGTGATCACCCTGGTTTACAAGTGGGGTACCGAAAAGTGAAATGACTTGCTTGGTCTCACATAGTGAGCAAGTGGTGAAGCCAACATCTAAGGTCTTCCTCAGCCTCAAGGCCATGGGCTTTCCCTGCTCACAAGGCTAGGGTCAACAGATGGCTTCTCACATTAGCATCACTGACTGCAAGCTAGTCCCCAACCCTGCATGCCATCCCACTGCACCTTCCACCACAGACACACCCTCTACTGCTCCTTTAAGCTTCTCCCACAGCTCTGTGAGTCAGTTCCCATTTCGCAGTTGGAAAAACTGAGGTCCTACAGTTAGAAAACTGTCTAGACATCAGAGATGGGTCACCATTTAAACCAGTTCTCATGCCCCAAGGTGGATGAACTCATCCCCGCTGGTGTTCAGCTCCCTTGGAGAGCAAGTGGGAGGGCAATCTGGCATAGCCCTCTGACCCAGAAACTCACCCACCTCCTTCTTCCTCACTGAGGTGTTTCCCAGCCGAAGCAACTGTGCGGCCTCCCTGGCACTACTTCTCAAGCCCCCTCCTGTCCTTCTTCTGATGACCATCACACTTGCTGCTTGATTGTCAGGGGCCAGGTAAGGTACAGTTTCGAGGGCCAGGCTAAGAAGCCTGAAATAATTTACTTATTTTAAAGATCTATTTATTTTTATTGGTAAGGCAGATATACAAAGAGGAGAAACAGAGAGAAAGATCTTTCATTCATTGGGTTACTCTAAATGGCCACAATGCCCAGAGCTGAGCTGATCTAAAGCCAGGAGAAAGTAGCTTCCTCTGGGACTCCCAGGCGGGTGCAGGGTTCCAGGGCTTTGGGAAGTGGAGCATCGTGGATTAGAGCTGGCAACCATGTGAAATGATAGCACTTGTAAGTAGAGGATTAGCCAATTGAACCAGTATTTCGGCCCCCAGAAGCCCAAATTTCATCCTTCGAGTAAGGAGGAACCATCAAGGTATATAGTAAGGGGTGAGGCAAGGTCAGCTCTGGCCTTTACAAAGATGACTGTCCAGGCAGGAACACCCTGAGCTGTCATCTCCCAGGTTACCCTTCCTAACTACCACTGTTTTAGGTTCCATCAGCAGCTGCAGTGGCTTAAACACCAGAGGGAAGGGGAGGAAGCCCCGTGGGGTGGGAGCCATGTGGTAAGGGCTGCTTGGTAGAAGGGTGTTAGCAGACCTACCATAGCCTGGCAGGGTCACTGTCTGCCTGCCTCTCCAAACTTCTGCAGAGTGCCCATGTCCATGTAGTCTCTCCAGAGCCTAGAGGGAGAGCATGGGGCGGCCAGGGCAGGGAGTGGGCTGGAGGTGAATGGAAGGCACCCAAGGGAGGACTCTTGCCTCCTCAACTCTCAAGGATCACACCTCCCCCCAAACCCATCTTCTTCTGCAGAAGCTATGAGAGGGAAAAACAGGTGGAACCAGAGACCTCTCTGGACCCAAGCACCTGAGCCTGCCTTGTGGTCTTGGTGTGGTTGGATGGAAAGAAGTGATTGAGGGTGATGGGGAAAGTGATCCAGGGTGGCTCCAGAGAATGCTCCTCCCTCTTAGGCCAGGCCTT